GGGGGGGGGGGGGGGGGGGGGGGGGGGGGGGGGGGGGGGGGGGGGGGGGGGGGGGGCAGTAGTCACCTCGAGCGTGGACGGCTCCATGCTGAGGTTCTTGAGGACAGTGAGGAGAGTCACAGCCAGGCTGCAGAACCTCGGCAAGCCAAGGTAGGCCGGGCAGATGCTCGACAGCGCCCGCATCACCCCTACGCGCTCGGACACACGAAACAGAACAACCAGGCGTAGCATAGCAAGAATTGGAGCACACATGGAAGATTGCATGTCATCGCCACAAAGCAAAACGTGAAACAGTGAGCAAACGAACAAATATCGCATTCTTGGGAAGCATGACATACCAGACAAGGACCGTAATTATTTTGTTCGATTCAATAGCTATGGATCTTTGCATCAGTCTCGTGGCCACAGCTATATTTAGAGTTCGTTACTAACCAAAACAAGCACGTAAGAGGAGGGTGCTGGGATCGTAGAGGCCAAAAACCCTGCTAGCCCTGTGAAAGGGACGACAAAATCCCCAAGCACAACACGGACAACACCATCAACAACCACAGCAGCAGCAGCAGTAGCAGTAGCAGCAACAACAACACGCCGTGCACAATGCGCCGCACCATTTACATCCGTCACTCGAACCGGCAGCGCAAAGGAAACGTAGCACTTCGCTCCCCCCCCCCCCCCCCCTTCAAACCANTTACATCCGTCACTCGAACCGGCAGCGCAAAGGAAACGTAGCACTTCGCCCCCCCCCCCCCACGCCCTTCAAACCAGCCACGACAGAGCGACCACCCACCCACCTTGCAAGCAATGCTCTTCCGCAACCCCTTCCTTCACGACGCCGTCGCTCTTGCTGAAGGTCGTCAGGATCTCCGCTGCCCTGGTCACGTATGGCCAACAAAAGTCGCCCCCTCCCCCCTCTGCCGCCGCCGCCGCCGCCGCCTCCGCCGCCGCCCCCGTCGTGTCCACCACAATCGCCATGCTGCTCATCTCCCTCTCCAGCAAACACCCACCGCTAGTCTGCCGCAGACCGGCGGGGGTCCGCCCAGAGGGGGAGGGAGAGGAGGAGGTTGCGATCATCGAGTGCCCCAGGAATCGCGAGAACGTGTCCTGGTCCGGTGAGAGGAGAGACAGGAGGGGGGGTGGGATGGAGAGGAGGAGTGAGGGGGGGTGTATGCGTTGTTGTGCTGTTGTCGACTTCGCCCTACAGACCGTGTTGCCTCTTCTGCCGATGGATACAGTTAGTCTCTTCAAAAGGAATCCGATCTCGGGTACTAAAACAGAACAAAGCATGGCATCAAACAAACACGAAATGCAGAAAAAAAAAAGAAGCATAATCTTCCAACGACAAAAACAAGAGGCCACCGAAGAAAAAGCCAGCACCACTCTCGGAAGGCGGATGGGAAATGCATCATAGGACCACCACAAGACACACACAGAAAAAAAACACACAAGAAACAAACGCGGCTGCTTCCTTGCCGTCTACACTGGCGGCGTCCAAAATGGCGACGCTAGCCGGTCCACGAAGGAGACTACATGAAGGTCTCAGCGGGACAAGCCAACCCCCGCCCCCCCTCGGTGTTTGCCATCGGGGTTGGGTTTTCGTTGCTTGGCAACGACGTTGTAAAACAAGCC